GCACACATTTGCAGTTGTGCCTGTATCTGGGGCCAAGTGGCAGGAGGACCAGAGGAAAAAGAAAATAGCAAACTTACCACCAGTTCAGTGATACTTTGAATTCTGGTCTTAATCACCAATACACCTGCTTTAATTATTTTTCAGAATCTTAAAATAATTGTTCTATGCATTCTATCTATGTATATCTATATTCAGGGGATTATAAGGTGCTTATTCTAGCTTACTCAGAACCAGAAATCCCACTATATATTTTTAAAACCCAAAATATATTAGTAATATTGTTTTATTTAATAAATATTCATTTAGAATTACCACTTTCTTTATTCTCCATTATTTCTTGCAACTCAAACCTTTCATCTCAGGTTTTCTGCTATCAGATCCATTCTTTCTAATTTCTGAATTCATTCTAAAGAATGAATCTCCTAAATAATTTACTTATAGTGACCTCTTTTTGTTTTCCTAAAAATGTTTTATAGCTCACCTCCATTTTTTAATAATATTGTTTCAAGATATAGAATTCTAGCTTGAAAGTTTTATTTTCTTTTAATTTATTGATGATATTTCTTTGTCTTCTGCACTCCATTACTGCTGTTGTGAAGGCAGCTGGCAGTCTAATTGTCACTATTTTGAAAGTAATCTTTTAAATTTTTTCTGTGGCTGTTTTAAAAGTTTTCTCTGCTTTTTTGCAGTTTCAGTATGATGTGTCTTGGTGTGTATTTATTTTCATTATTCTTCTTGGTATTTTTTTAAATGTCCTGATCTGTGAATTGGTATGATTTATCAGTTTTGGAAAAGTCCTAGCCTTTTCTTTTCAAATATTTCCTCTTCTTCATTCTCTTTTTCTTCTCTTATTATTATTAATTATGTTATATGTTTTAATATATTATTTGTGTTTCTAATCTCTTTTGTAGCTTCCTTAATTTGGGGCAGCAGTCTCTCTATGATGTACTCTGGATAATTTCTTCTGATTTGTGTTCCAGTTCACTAATTTTCTGCCCTGTCTGGTCTTCCATTAAAGCCATTTTATTACTCAGAATCTTATTGGCGAAGCAGAATCACTAGAAGATAGTTAGATAGATAGATAGATAGATAGATAGATAGATAGATAGATAGATAGATAGATTTAAAGGGATTTGACCTTATGCAATTGTGGGAGCTATTTAAAACAGTTTGCAAAGGTTTATCTGATGCTAGAGCTTAAGAGCTACAAAGTAGGTATTCAGGAAGGAAGTTGCTATAAAGTGGGAGGAGAGTGAGGACAAACTGGAATCCCTGATGATAAACCAGAACCTATATTAGTTTCTGACCCTGTTCAACTTTTATGATGTAGGTGTTGTACAGGATAATCTTGTGCCATTTATCATGGAGATAAACACATACTCGGCCCAGAATTTAGAGAATCTGAAGGAGGTTCTGGGCTGAGGTACATCAGCTGCAAGTCTGGCTGTTGTTTCGTATCAATAAGGTGAATCATCAGACAAATGGCAATATGCATTAGTTGCAACAGCATCTGCTGCCCCTTAATTGACCTCCTGAATGTAAAAAACAATGTGGCTGCTGTTTCACTTCCACCTTTCAAATTTTTGCAAAATCTCTCTTATGGGCTACCCTACCTGACTAGAAGCATGCAAAAGAGGAATCCTTGAAAATACAGTTCAGCTAGCTAAAATGACATTACAAAATCACCAAGTATGTACCTTTTAACTAGGCACCTATAAATACCTCTTTAACTCAAACTTAGCTTCCAGATAAAGGCAATAACAGAGTCATGCCTCTGTTAACGTAATGCAACTATCCCACATTCAACCAAAAAGCATGCTAACTCATTCCCCCCACCCCCACAAATAAAAAGTCCTTTTTCCACCTTTGGGTGATATTCATTCTTCTAATCCTTCTTTTAGCTCAATCACATGCCTCCTTTAACATCCTATAACTTAAATAATGAAATAAAAGTTAGCTACTGTCTTGTGTTAAATGTTAGAGGGAGAGGTATATATATATATATATATATATATATATATATATATGTATGTATATATATCCTCTATACACATATGTACACATTTATATCAAATTAAGGATGAAATATTAATAACTATTACAAGCATTTTTGCTACTGGTCATGTGGTTGTAGTGGGTTTCTATGTAATTATCTTCTGCCTCTCTCCTTTGCCATGTTCTCTTTGGCTGGCTTTGGCTCAGCTGGCTTTGGCTCCTTGCTTGGTTAATAACCCAAACCTTCATCCCTAAAGGGTTTGGGCCACTTGTACTGCCTATGGTGGTAGTGTTCTTTATTGGCTTTTTTCATAGTATATAGGATTACTTCGCCCTGCTTCCCCACGGCTGCATTCTAGACATATTCTTCCTTAACCTCATTGTGTAGTTAGGATAACTTGATAGGATTAATCACCCCTGCCAATACAATAAATCCCTTCTTTACCTGTTAATTCACTGGCCTGAGAAGCCCTAAGTGGCCAAATGATAGTCTCAACTTCAAGCCTAAAGGAGCCATTGTTATGTCCCTTGATGAAACTATTCCTACTTTTGGAATTGATAACTCTAGACCAGTGGTTCTCAATTGGGGGCGATTTTGCCCCCAGAGGACTTTGGCAATGTCTGGAGGTATTTTTAGTTGCCACAACTGGCAAGCAGGTGCTACTGACATCTAGTGGTAGAGGCCATGGATGCTGCTAAACATCCTATAATGCACAAGACTCACCCTCTAGCAGAGAATTATCAAGGCCAAAATGAGAACAATGTTAAGGTTGAAAAACCCTGCTCTAAATCAGTAGAGGCCAGAGTAGTGCAGACAGGAAGCAGAAATTTTTCTAGGGCCGCAGTAGGGATAATGTAGAGAGTAATCTACTCCTGTTTCTATCCCCTTGGTTCCCAGACCGCTTGAATCCTGGCTATGAGAGAAAAGCACCATATACTGCTGACCACTGATTTATAGCATATACCTACAAGGTATTGCATCTAGTTAGTATGGTAACTGAAACCATCTTAACATGGCAGCTGCTTTCTTTTTTTCTTATTTTGGTAAAATATATATGACATAAATTTGCCATTTCTACCATTTTTCAGCGTACAATTCAATGGTAATAGTTACATTCATACTGTTGTACAACTGTCACCATTGTCCGTTTCCAAACTTTTCCATCACCCCAAAAAGAAATTCTGTAGGCATTAAGCAATGACTCCCCATTTCCCCATCCCTGCGTCCCTTATAACCTCTAATCTACTATCTGTCTCTATAAAATTGCCTATTTTAGATATTTTATTTAAGTGGAAACATACAATATTTGTCCTTTGAGTCTGGCTTATTTCACTTAGCATATTGTTTTCAAGGTGCAGCCATGATGTCGAATTTATCGGAACTTCATCTGATGCCTTCACAGGTCAGTTTTTCTTGTTTGATGTTTTTGCTATTTTTAACCTATCAATCGAATTTCCTTTTGTGTCTGGCTATCTTTTGCTGTATGCTGGACATTTTATGTAAAAAAAAGTGTGTATGGTAATAATTGGTATTCTAGTACCCCTCTACAAGTGGGTTCTTACAGTTTTTAATCTCAATTCAATTTTTCTCTCAATATTTAGTAATGATTCATGTAAAATAGAAGGTGATTGCCTATATTATAAACAATAGAATTTAGAATTTCCCTCAGGAAGATGTCTAGCTTCAAAGAATTCCCTTCACTTGTCTGTGGAGTGGACCCTGATTCATGCCAGGAATCAAACAGTTCCTTCACTTAGGGAGCAAGTCAGGTTCTCTGTCATTGGCCCAACCTTAAGTTTGAGCTGCACTTTCTACTATTCCTTTATATATGGTATTATGTTAAGCAAAACTGTTTTCCAACCATGTGCTCTATTTTCCTGCCTTCATACAATTCTCTCCATTCGGGATGCCCATTTACTACCCTTCATCCCTTCCTATGGCAATTATCTTAAGACTAGCTAAAAGTCACCTCCTCTCCCCTCGAAGTCTTCCCAACTGGATGTACTGGTTTTTTTCCCTCTTCTGAATTCTTTTAGCACTGGGTACCTTTTTTTTTTTTTTTTTTTGAGACAGAGTCTCACTCCGTTGCCTGGGCTAGAGTGCCATGACATAAGCCTAGCTCACAGCAACCTCAAACTCTTGGGCTCAAGCAATCCTACTGCCTCAGCCTCCCAAGTAGCTGGGACTACAGGCATGTGCCATGATGCCCAGCTAATTTTTTCTATATATATTTTTAGTTGTCCAGCTACTTTCTTTCTATTTTTTAGTAGAGACGAGGTCTCGCCCTTGCTCAGGCTGGTCTCCAACTCCTGAGCTCAAAGGATCTACCCGCCTCCGCCTCCCAGAGTGTTAGGATTACAGACGTGAGCGACCACGCCTGGCCCACTTGGTACTTTTTAATGGACTTTTCTGCCTTGAATTTACTTGCGTATTTATTTTAACCTCATCCGATTACAGAGATCCTACAATTTACCTTACCTGTATACATTTTTTATTTACCTAAAAAATGTGGATAGTGATAGTACATATATTACAGAGATTACCTCATAATCCTGTTATAACGATTAAGTCAGCTAAGACGTGAAAAGATATTTCTAAGGAATGGTAAAGGAGTGCTCGAATAAATTCTAGCGGGTACAGTGTACGCTGTTCTGGTGACGGGCAAACGAAAAGCCCTGACTCCAGCATTACAAAATTCATCCATGCAACAAGAACACTTGTACCTCCTAATATTTTGAAATAAAAATGATTAAAAACAATAGAAAAAATAAATTCTAGCTATTGCTACCATTCCTCAGAAACATTGTGATTTCGATAGTTTTCACCACAGTGAAAGAAAGCAGAATCCTATGGACTAAATTTAAAAAATTCTGTCTGAGATAATGGGCGAAAAAGCCCAAGTCAACGTAGCTAGTCAGTTGGCGCGTGCGCAGAGCCGATGAGGCGCAGGAGAGAGCCGGCGTGCGCAGAGCCGCCGGGGGCGGCGCGTGCGCGTGCGCGGGGCGGGGCTTGCGGAGCTGGGTGCCCGTCCTCGCGCCGTGGTTGTTACCCTGTAGCGACCGGGCTCGCGAGAGGGATCTTCCCGGCTGGGTAATGGATTTTGAGAATCTTTTCTCAAAGCCCCCCAACCCCGCCCTCGGCAAAAAACCGGCCACGGACTCTGACGAAAGGTGATCCCGCATCTTTTCATCCTTTGAATGTAGGGCCCCAGCCAGGCTCCGCCTCTTCGTTCCTTCTGGATTGGAGGCTGCGCGGGGCCACATCCGGGCCGCCCCGCGAGGGCCCGTGGGGAGCACGTGGGCCGGCCCCGGCCGGGCGCGACGGGCGGACCCGGAGGGGACTTGCGGGTGGAGGGGGTTAGAAGCCGGAGACGGGGTCCAGTTCGTAGGGCGCGACGGCCAGGGGCGCCGAGAGCCTGGGCGAGGGGAGCCATTGGGGTGGGAGCGAGGAGGCTCCAGGATGCTCTCCTTTCTCCGCGCTCCTGCCCCTCTAGGCAGGTTAGGAGCTAGCCGCTGTTCCCATAACCTGTTGCCCCCTTGCCTGTTCCCATAAGCTCCCAAAGGACAGAGATCCTTTGTCGTTTTCCACTGACACATGCTGGGCTCTTTTTTGTAGAAAGGACGAAACCACAACTTGATTAAACGTTAAAGAATGCTGCCATTAGTTCACTGATTTGCAACAGAAAACCCTAAAGACCATAATAAAGCAACAAATACCATGTGGACTTAGTAATTCCAATAGGTTGAAAAAGCAAGTGAGACTTGGCCAAATGGTGCTAATTTGTTGGTCTCATTCTTAGAGACGTGTATAGAGTAGTTTGTTTACACCCAGATATTCTTTCAGTTTTTATTTGTTGGAGTTTTAAGTGCTAAAAGCCATCTCTCCTAAACCTATGTCTTCTATGTTCCCCGGTTTCCCTAAGCCTAAACCTTGACACGGATCTCACATTCTTTTATTTCTCTCATCACAGGTGTGTCTGATTCTGGTTGATTTTTACTTCTCGGTATCACTCATCTACTCATTTCACTGCATCTCAAATGCCTTAATTGAAACTATTACCTTAATTGATCATTAGGATCTTTACTACACACTTTACATGAAATACATCATTTAGCCCTCACAACAACCTTAAGGAGAAGATAATGCTGTCTTCGTTTTACAGATGGGAAAACTGAGGCACAGAGACGTTAAATAACCTGCCAAGATTGCAAGTTTAAGTGGCAAAGCAAGGATTAAGTTGCCCAGACAGTCTGACTCAGGACCCATGATTTCATCACCAAACTTCTAATATAAAATAAGACCTATAAATATCGGAAAGAGAGAAAGACACTAATTACTTGCAGATGATATCATTTACTAAGGAAAGTAAGAGGAACCAATTGATAAGCTATAAAATACATAAGAGAATTCATCACCAAAAAAGACAGTAGCATCATTTTAAAAACAAGTATCAGTTATCAACTTGAAAATGTATTGACCAAAAGATCCATTCACAAAAACTTTACTGTAGCACATAAAAGACACTTGGAATTTTGCCAAAATGATAGGCAAAGGATGGCATGGAAGTATGGTGAACTGTCTATTCATATCATTTGCCCATTTTTCTCTTTGGCTGTTGGTATCTTTCAAATTTTAGGAGCTCTTGTCTGCATATATTTTACTCCCAATTGTCATTTGTCTTTGACTTTGCCTTGGCATTATTTCTCAATGCATAAAGGTGTGGGGGTGTTTTGGTTTTGTTTTGTGCAAATGAAGCAATCATTTCTGTTACAATTTCTGGTTTTTTTCCTAGTAATTTTTGGATGAAAATACTTTTCATTCAAAAGAAGTTTACTGAATACATGCTATGTAAGAGACATTATTCTAGGCCTTGGGGATACAGCAATAAATGAACAAGAAAAAAATCTCAGTACTAATGAAATTTACATGATTGGGGGCGGGGGAGATAGATAATACATAAATATACAGTATTTTTTGTGATGTTAAATGCCCTGGAGAGAATGAAAGAAAGGTAGGGGAAACAGAAGCACCAGTGGGATGATGGGGAGACTGTAGATATTTTAAAGGTAGCTAAGGAAGGCCTAACTGCTCACATTGGTAAGTAACATTTGAATAGGGACTTTAAGGAAGTGAGAGGAGTTGCTGTCTAGGGGATGGAGTATGTTCTGTGGAAAGATCTAGAGATGGAGTGAGCTTAGTGTGATTGGGTTAGGGAAGCAAAGTGGCCAGAATGACTACTAGAGTGGAGTAAGAGTAGCAGGACTTGAAGTCTGAGAGGTATTTGGGTAGGTTTGAGGAGGGCAGATCATGTAGGGACTTGTGGGTGTCATAATAAGGGCTTTGACTCTGACTGAGATGAGAGGCCATTGGAGGGCTTTCAGCAGTGAGTGACATCTGACATATTTTAGCAGGGTCATTCTGGTTATGTTGAGGGTAGAATATAGGAGACCGAGAGCAACTTTGATTATTAGTGGCAAGAAGTGGTCAAATATGGCTATATTTTGAAGATAGAACAAACTGCATTTTTTTCACAGATTGGAGGGGGTTTATAAGAGGTGTCAAGATTGATCTTAAGGTTTTGGTCAGTATCCTGAAAGAGATGGAGTTGCTGTTTAAGATAGCAGGAGGATTAGGTTTCAGAGAGAAGAGCAAGAGTTCAGTGTTGGATATGTTAGGATTACACATGTGTGGTAGATATTCAAGGTGGACATGTTGAGTAGGAAGTTAGCTCTGTTTGGGTTTAAGGGGAGGGGTTTGGGTTGGAGGCTTGGCTATTGAAATCAACTACGTATATATGGTATTCGAAGCCATGAGGTAGAAGGAGATCACCTCCTAGAATAAGAATATAGACAAGAAAGAGGTTTGAGGACTGACATTTAAAGTTGTGAAGATGAGTAGCCAACAGTGGAGACTGGGAAGAGGTGCCCAGTGAGGAAGAAAAAACTAGAAGAGCTGAGTATCCTTGAAGCTAAGTAAAGAACATGCTTTACGGAGGAGAGGGTCAACTCTGTCTCATCTTGTTCATAGGTCAGGTAATATGGGGACAGAATTATAGACCTTAACAGTGGAGGGGTGAAAGTAGACACCTATTTGGAATGGGCAGTAGAATAACAGGGTGTAGTTTTTAAGGCACACACTTCGAAGCCTGCCTGCCTGGGCTCAAATCTCATTTGAGATTTGACCATTTGACTAGCTTTGTGACAAGTTATGCAACCTTCTTGTAATTCAGTTTTCTCATCTGTAAAATGAGCTTTTTAAGCAGTAATATATGTATCATACGGTTGTTGTGGTAAGTGGAATGTGCATGCAGCAACACCTGGCACAGAGCGTTATGCAAGTGTTGGCCACTGCTGTATTGCTATTGTAGTCATTATCTCTGTGCCTAAGGAGAGGTGGTTGCCTCCTCCTCCATGAAACGATTCGTAACTAGAAACTGGAGCAATAAAGGTTCACAAATATTTGATTTTTTTGGCTCTAGTAATGGTAGCTTTGGTAAAAGGCTCACAGCTTGGCACCTCATCTGATGAATGTAACTCAGGAGCTCCAAGATCAATATAAACTGTTGCATTGGATGAAGCTGTGAAGCCCAGGTTCCTGTAACTTTGAAAGAAGCACAAAGCCAGTATCCACATTCTTCTTGTGCTAGCAGTGCCTTCCGTTTGTAACATGTTCTTTTGAGAATGGACACGTTGCCTGTTCCTGGCTTTTGTCTGGCATATAACAATCTTGTGTTCACTAATTTTTTCAGCCCCCTATATCTCTAGCGTCAACCATTGATTAGATTCACATATACATTTTATTGGCTTCTTTGTTCACCAGTTTCTTATATTTACTATCTTCATCTGTCTTGAGTTTACTTTTCATTTTGTTGGAATATCCTCAAGTAATTGATATCCATGCAGGGTCAACTTCTCAGTCCTATGAGTCTGAACACAATTTTTCTTTTTCATCTTTGTACTTGAGTATGTTTGTCTCTCTCCTAGCCTCAGAAGGCACCATGCATTCTGCCTGAAATACCTTTCTCCCTTACATTCCTCTTTGTTTGCTAACTCTTACGTATCTTTTAGGTTCAGAAAGCCCCTGGCCCCTAAGTCCAGGTTAAGTGTTCCTCGTATATACATCTATACTTATCACACCATTTTGAAACACCTTTATTTTTTTCTCCCAAGCAAGTAGAAAGTTCTTAGAAGGCAGGAACAAGGTCTTTTTTATTGTAGCATGAACTAAGTCCTAGAGCCTGGTATATGGCGGATACTCAGTATTTGTTGAATAAACAGAATGGTAGATAAATGGATGATTTATATAGCTGCTAATACCTGAGCATTAAGGTTGTATAGTCTAAAATTTCAGTTGTACAGGTTATTTATAAATATATTGACATTTACTGCCCACCGTAATTGTGTACATTATTTATCTTGAGTGTTTGGAATACTGATTTGGAATTTCTTTCAGGGCAAGTTGAAGACAAGCCAAAGCAGTTAATTTTAATGTTGTTGTATGAACTCTTTTCAGGTTGAAAAAACCCTTTTGTGTTATTTGATATTTTTGCTACAGAATCGATGATGAAATAGATGATACAGAAGTTGAAGAAACACAAGAAGAGAAAATAAAATGGGAAGTTAATCTGGAGTGTGAGCAAATTCCCAAAAAAGTAAGATTAAGTTGCCATATTGAAAAAACAGATAGGAATGGATGTGAGAAATTCATGAGGGATCCTATGGGTCTCATTTTAGTAAATATTTGGGACCCACTTACTTATATCAGGGAAACTTGTTTATACTTTATTTGTTGCCGTTTAACATGAATTGTTTTTAGTAATTGGTTTTAATTTTCCCTGTTTCTGAAATGGATTGTAATCTGCTTCAAAAACTTCTTTCACATTATATTAAAATTTTGAGGGCTTTGATTTGCTAACTTAACCAACCTTAGTGATTTATAGTTTAAAGCCTGTATTAGTTCGATAGGTTTGCCATAACAAAGTACCACAAACTCAGTGGCTTAAACAATAGAAATTTATTGTCTCATGGTTCTGAAGGCCAGAAGTCCCAGAACAAGGAATAGGTAGTGTTGGTTCCTTTGGAGGACTGAGAAGAACCTGTGTATCACTCTCCTCTTGTTTCTGATGTATTGCTGGCAATCTTTGGCCTTCTTGGCTTGCAAAAGTATCACCCTCATCTCTGCCTTCATGTTCATATGGCTGTTCATATTCTCCCTGTGTGCCTGTGTCTGATTTCCCTTTTATGAGGACATCAGTTATATTGAACTAGGGCCCACTCTAATGACCTCATCTTAATTAATTATACCCGTAATGGCCCCGTTTCCAAATATCGCCACATTCCAAGGTACTGGGATTAGAAACATAAGAATTTTGGGAGGACACAGTTCAACCCATAGCAAAGATAATATGTGCTCTTCTCTTACCTTTCTTTTTCTCTTTTTGAACTTTTCTCACTAAGCTTAATTCTAGCTTTTGACTTAAAGTGAGAGACTTGTGACTCTTCCTTTCACATGAACACTTAGAGGCCATTGTATGGTTATTACTTGGCCTAATTTCAAAATCATTGTGTCTCAGGAATTAGGGAGGACCGAGAAAAGGGAGAGAGACAGAGGAATAGCCTGTGGTGGAGAACACAAACAACGTGTCCATTAAGTTCGCTGTCTTATATGGGCAGGGTTCATGGCATCCCAAAACAATTACAATAGTAACATCAGAAATCACTGATCACATAGCTAGGAAGAGTGGCTCACCCCCATAATCCCAGTATTTGGGAGGCTGAAGTGGGAGGATTGTTTGAGCCCAGGAGTTAGAGACCAGTCTGGGTGATATAGCAAGACCCTCCAAAAACACCCCACAAAGCTCACTGATCTCAGACACAGATCACCATGACAGATATAATAATAATGAAAAAGTTTGAAATATTGTGAGAATTACCAAAATGTGACACATAGACATGAAGTGTAGAACATGCTGTTGAAAAAATAGCATAGATAGACTTGCTCTATGCAGGGTTGCCACAAACCTTTCATTTGTAAAAAACACATCTGTGAAGTACAGTAAAGCAAAAAGCAATAAAACAAGATATGCCTATAATTTTCTTGGTAAATATCTCACATCTTATATACCTTTTGTTACATTTATTGCTAAGTGTTTAATGAAGCTATTATAAATTCTATCTTTTTCAAAGTATCATTTTCTAACTATTGGTTTCTCATTTGGTTGGCATACATGCTTATGTAGGAATGCATGGAAGATAAATTTTTGAGTTCTTATTAACATTTCCAAAAATATCTTGAATTTATCCTCATAATTGATAGATAGTTTGCCTAAATAGAATTAAGTCTGAAGTTATTACTCCATTGTTTTCCATAATCTAGTGTTGCAAAGGTGAAGTCTTACCGATTTAATTCTAGTTTCTTTGTATAAGTATCCTGTTCTTTTTGGAAGCTTTTAGATTCTTCTTTTTATTCTTGGTGTTCTTAATTGTATGAGATTGTCTAAGTCTTTCTGCATTCATCGTACTTAGTGTTATTGTGGTGAGACCATATTCCTATCCTTCATATATGAGACATATCATCTCTTATTTTTTATCTCTTTTTTCTTTGTATTCTAGGAATGTCCTCTATTTATTTTATAAGTTATAATTTAACTATTTAGGAGCTCATTCTTGTTTTTAAAGCTTTCTAGCCTTATTTTTTTGAATATAATATCTTGAATATCTTTGTGTATTTATTTTTAAAATTTTGAATTATTTTCCTGGAATCATATTAACTTCTTCTGAATTAGTTTTTCAGTTATTTTCTTGCTCTTTTGTTTTATTCTCTAGGTCAGGGATCAATAAGCATTTTCTGTGTTATGAGGATAACACAGTAAATATTTTAGGCTTTTCAAGGCAAGAAGAAAAATTGAGAACATTATGTAGCTACTTATATGATGAAAGAGAGTAAACAAATTTCCACAACTTTTTATTGACAAAATTTAGCATATAATTGTGGTTTTTTTGTTGTTTGGTTTTTTTTTTTGAGACAGAGTCTCGCTTTGTTGCCCAGGCTAGAGTGAGTGCTGTGTCGTCAGCCTAGCTCACAGCAACCTCAGTCTCCTGGGCTCAAGCAATACTGTTTCCTCAGCCTTCTGAGTAGCTGGGACTACAGGCATGTGCCACCATGCCCAGCTAATTTTTTTCTATATATATTAGTTGGCCAATTAATTTCTTTTTATTTATAGTAGAGGCAGAGTCTCACTCTTGCTCAGGCTGGTTTCGAACTCCTAACCTCCAGCAATCCGCCCGCCTCAGCCTCCCAGAGTGCTAGGATTACAGGCGTGAGCCACCACGGTATAATTGCTTTTATAATACAGGTCTACTGATGAGAAGAATGAGGTTCTTCTTTATGGGATAATTATTTGCTTAATTGGGGTTCAAATTTACTGCTCCCTTATCATCAAAATTTATTGCTAAGATTCATCTGTTATGGTGATATGTAATAGGACCTTATCTATTTCATCTCTGAAAATGTCTTCCCACTACAGATAGGTATTGCCAAATACTGATATCAGTTCACCGGCACATGATTTTAATTGAGTATATTCATTCCCTAGAAGGCATTTATGGAGCTTTATTAGATTCTTTCTTCACTAGATTTATCTTTTAGTACTTGTTACTTTGCAGATTAATCACTTCCAATTGAAGGTTAAGTGGAAGCTCCTCATTTGCACAATAAATGGATTATGAAATGGCAGTTTCCTTTGCTCTTGTATTAAAGTCTGAAGAAACAGTGCAGGAATTGTAGTTTGAATGTAGAAAATCTATCTGCAGCAAATTAGTGTGGTTATGGAGGTCTTGCTTCTGTTTTAACTTTGAACAGCACAGTGATACTGAGCAGTCAGTCTCAGTAACAGCTGTCAACTCATTAAGAGCCAGGGAAAACCACTTGAAATCATTTACCTCATTTTTTAAGTGTTTGTTTGTTGAAGTTCTTCCCAGTTTCCTCAGTCTTTGAGCAGCCCTTCAACTGCTGCAATCAAACATGATTTAATTAACTCACCATCAGCTGTCTTTGGTTGGCTAACAAATGAGCTGCTCAGAAACTTGCTTTGATTGAGGTTTTGTTTTTGTTTTTTATTTCTGTGAAGAAAGAAATTTGTGATGAGATCATCTGTTTTAAGTTTTCTTATTTTTCTGACTGTTACTTTCTTGTGAGTTGGGATTATAGTGATGAATGCTTAATATTGTAGTGTCCACATATATTGTGTTCATTTAGCACTACTGTAGTATCATTACATATTAATAAGAACCACAATGCTTTGCCATCTGATTTGACAGTAAAATAATCCACACTTCACCGTGTCTTTAAATGCATTACATTCGAAGTCTACTTTTCATGCTTTGACCTGGTGGGTATGCACTGGTAATGCAAAAAGTAAAATAAAATGGCATGAGGAACTCAAAATACTGCTGGAGTTATTACTGTTACCTCAGTTTGTAATGCACTGGCCATCTTTGTGAACTGATGTGAACATAATGCAATTACTCAACTCTGCTGTTACAGTGAGGAAGCAGCCAGTATAATACATTAATAAATGAGGATGGCTGTGTGCCAATGAAACTTTATTTATGGATACTAAAATTTGAATTTTATATAATTTTCAAATGTCAAGAAATATTAAAAAAATTTTTTTGTTGTTACAACCATTAAAAAAATAAGCAACGATTATTCTTAGCTTGTGGGTTATTACAAAAACAGGTGGCAGAGTGTATTTAGCCCTTGGATTGTAGTTTGCTGACCCCTGCTTAGATTGTTGTGACATGCTTGTTCCCTTCTTGTCCCTTCATTTAAGAAAGGCCTAGAGAGTTGATGGATATCCCCTGCTGATGTGTTTGGTAGGTCTGTGTCTCTAATGGCCTTTCCTCTAAATGGGAAGGAAGCCTGCCTGGGCGTTCAGTAGGTGAGTAGGCTGCCTATGTAGGTAGGTTTCCCAGCAGCATAACAGTTCTTAACCTTTAGCAGTCTGGAGAAGCCTATGGGCCCCTGCTCAGAGTAAAGTTTTTAAGTGTGTAAAATAAAATATGTTGGATTACAAAGAAAATTGATTTTATTGAAATAGAGCTTATCAAAATAGTAAAGACAAATGTAGTAAGTGTAATATATTCTTTACTAATGCACTAAATAGTAAGACCGTGCAGTGGTTTTAATTATCTAATTTTGAAATAGTGGTAAATGTAAAAAATATGTTGAGATCTATAGCAACTGTAATGTAATATATGAAAATACCTGTGGTTTATATTGGTGACAGTCATAGTACTGCTGGTACTACTAGGGTTTGTTCCCTGTGTTCAAAACAGGAGAAAATACAAAATGTCAATTTAGGGGTTGATGAAAATACTACGTGATTTTCTTCCCATCTAAGTTGACTGAATTTTCTGAATTCAATTCATAGACCCTTTTGGCAGGGGGTGGGGGGTAGTCTCTGGACAGGAGGGTGAAAACCTCTGCTTTAGGGTGAGTGGGATGGAGCATTTTTCTGGTAGGGGTTGTTCCTAAGTACACATAGAAAACTTAGTACCCCTGTGTGGGTGATTTTACTGCCCACGTGTGAAGCCTTACCTTTCACCAGACTTTTTATTCAATTTCTTTGGATAACAGCCCTCTCTTTTCTCAGGGAAAGTTCCTGGTTGATTTATATCTGATGAGGGGTAGGGTAGAGAAAATTTGTTATAATAGCTTTGTTTTCATGTAGAATTATAATGCATCATCTTTTTCACACTCGAACCTAAGCCCAACCTCTAGGCTGTGGTCCCCAACCCTCAGCACCAGTACCAGTCTTCAGCCTGTTAGGAACCGGGCTGCAGAGCTCTGCCTCACCCCTCCCCGGCCCCACCTTTGCCTCCCTCCACCCCCATCTGTGGAAAAATTGTCTTACATGAAACCGGTCCCTGGTGCCAAAAGGTTGAGCACCACTGCTCTAGAGTGTAACTTCCTTTTTGACTGTCAGAAATTTGTTGAACTCTGTCAGTTATTGATGAACGCACTTCATGAACGCACTCCCAGATACATACGCACTATTCTCTGTACTTTTATTTCTGTGGGGTGTCTGGAGACCATACTAGTTTACTAAGCCATCCTGAATCAAAAGCAATAAAACCTTTTACTTGAAAAAAAAAGCTACTTTATTTAGACTCCTTCACAAAAGGAGAAAAGGGTTGTAATTATGTTTGTACACTTCCCAGATTATACCTTTGTGAACAACAAACTGAAGCATTGAGTTTCTAGTTAGCTAAGTGAAGAAAAGTATTCAGTAATATGTATTTTCTGTATTTCAGTGCCTTCTGAAAAGAGTCATTAGTAATATTCATCTCTACTGTATAATAAAACAACATAATGATTGTCCTAGTTTTATTAATGTTGCCAGCTCATCTCATGTATTCATTTAATACAGATCAGACATGTTATTACTTGTGGTAAAAGGAATTGCTTCAATACTGTAGGCTTATGTGTTTTGTGCAAGTAGAGGGCATTCATTTGTGCAAGTAGAGGGCACTCGTTTGGATCATTTTAATATTTTGATTTGGATGCACTGAACAGAATCTTATCTCTATGTGTTTGCGTAAGCTAATCATGTGAGCCACTGCATATTGAATAATCTTTTTGGTTCCTCCTATGCCCACCAAGTAAAATTAAAGGGCAGAACCAAGGTAAACATAACAATCTATCACAGGAGTCAGCCAACTTTTTCATAAAGGATCAGACAGTGAATCGACTTTGTGGACAATACTGTCCCTCTCACAACTAAACACAACTAAGACTATATGTAAATGAATGGGTGTGACTGTGTTCCAGTAAAACTTTATTTTCAAAAACATGTGGCCAGGCTGAAGTTTGCTTACCCCAACCTATCAGTCCAGAAGTTAAATTTAGAAGTTCGTTCTATGGTGGTAGTTGGACAAAGGTGCTCTCTTTTGAAGACTTGGAGACAAAGAACTTGGTGGCCTGAAGATTGTTAGATTAGTTGGTAGTCTTGTCTGGCATAATGAAGATCAGGTGTACCTTGAAGCCATTGTCAGATCAAGAAACTTCCTCACCTTGTTTGGATTCTTTAAACAGGGAATAAGTTCATTTTCTAGGCTCATAATCAATCTGGTGGAACAACTCCTAGCTTTGTAGTTAACCATCACATGTAAACCATTAAATTGGGATACCTATATGTTTTATAATAGTGATTCTACTGTTTTTTGTTTTGTGCTGCCTTAGTCAGTTATCATGTGAAAGTAAGTAAGAGACCCGGCCCCAAAGTATGCTTTGGAACAGAATCATTGTTCACTGTAATTATAGGCATGCTATCTCTTCCTGATATCAGAATAGGAGCCCTTTGGGATTTGGTCATTTTTAAAAAATAAACTTTTTGATTATAATTTATATAAATTAGAATTATACAGTTTGATATACCTCTATCACCAAGTGTAGATAACTGTGAATGGATACTTGAAAAATTTTATACAGAAATTGCTTTAAGTCATGTGCTGTGATCAGCTTGAGCTCCTCCAAAATCAGCTCCCATACCTAGGTTTCTGTTCCAGTGAGTGGTTGGGTTCTCTGATGTTGCCTTGGGGCACTTTCAACACCGGAGTTAGAAAAACTATTTCTGAAAGTGAACTTGATTACAAATAACAGGGAAGTTCTTTCTTCCTTATTGTTGCTGCCATCACTGCAGTGAGTTATAGGAGAAAGAGTAGATTTTGGTAGCTGAAATGTAACTTAACCCTTTGTACTTGAATGTCGAGTGTGGATAATGTCGAGTGGATAATGAGAATAAAGCAAGCGAATGCAAAGGGTTAAGCTAAATGGGCCATGATAGTTTACATGGTGTTTTATGAAATGGTAAATTATTGAATCAAGACATTTAAAAGTATTGTCAAAGAAATCATTATATCAAAAAGACAATCGCTTCTTGGCCTTTTGGCTAAGATCAAGTGTAGTAAGAAGACACCTGCACTCATATGTTTATCACTGCACAATTCTCAGTCACAAAGATATGGGATCAGCCTACATGCCCATTAACTGATGAGTAGATAAAGAAAATATACACCCTGGAGTACTACTCAGCGATAAGAAAGAATGAAATAATGTCTTTTGCAGCAACTTGAATGGAACTGCTGGAGACCATTATCCTAAGTGAAGTAACTCAGGAAAAGAAAAATAAATGGCATATGTTCTCATTTATGAGTGGGAGCTAAATTACGGCTACACAGGGGCACATAGAGTGGTATAATAGACATTGGAGACTCACGGGGGAGGTGGTGAGGATAAGGGATGAAAAATTACCTATGGAGTATAACATACACTACTTGGGTGATGGGTACACTAAAGCCCAGACTCTACCACTTTACTGTATATATATGTATGGAATTCAACTTGTATTCCCTAAATCTATTAAAATTTTAAAAAAGGAAAGAGGAATAATTAAAGTATTGTCAGTGCAAAGGGAGAAATGCAATGTGAGAATACTATAATCTATTTATATCAACTACGATTTGGGGGTTTAGACTTTTAATTCAGTAAAATTCATACAGTGTATAAATTCAGAATCTTCCCTTAAGTTGTCTTTAAAGATGGATTTGTCATACTGGTTTGTTCATTTTTAATTTTGGAAAATTACAAATATATGAGTGGAGAGAATACTGTATGAACCCCATGTGCCCAAGACCAAACTTCTTTATTTTTATTTTTATTTTATTTTATTTTTTTAGGTTAAGTGTTAAGGTTAGGTATATTGCCCATGCCCCCCCCCCTCGAGCCAGAGCTTCAAGCGTGTCCATCCCCCAAACGTTGCACCTCTTACTTGTTGTGTTTGTATATACCCATCCCCTCCTTCCCCCTCCCACCTGTCTGACACCAAATAAATGTTATTCCTATATGTCCACTTAGGTGTTGATCCGTTAATACCAATTTGCTGGTGAGTACATGTGGTGCTTTTTTTCCATTCTTGAGATATTTCACTTAGTAAAATAGGTTCCAGCTCTATCCAGGAATATACAAGAGGTGCTATATCACCATTGTTTTTTAAAGCTGAGTAGTACTCCATGGTATACATATATCACATTTTATTAATCCACTCATGAATTGATGGGCACTTGGGTTGTTTCCACATCTTTGCAATTGTGAATTGTGCTGCTACAAACATTCGAGTACAGGTGTCTTTTTCATAAAGTGACTTTTGATCTTTTGGGTAGATTCCTAGTAGTGGAATTGCTGGATCAAATGGTAGATCTACTTGTATCCCTTTGAGGTATCTCCATATTGCTTTCCACAGAGGTTGAACTAGTTTGCAGTCCCACCAGCAGTGTAAGAGTGTTCCTATCTCTCTGCATCCACGCCAGCATTTATTGTTTGGGGACTTTGTGATAAAGGCCATTCTCACTGGAGTTAAGTGATATCTCATTGTGGTTTTGATTTGCATTTCCCTGATGATTAGAGATGTTGAGCATTTTTTCATATGTTTGTTGGCCATTATCCTGTCTTCTTTTGAAAAGTTTCTGTTTGTGTCCTTTGCCCATTTTTTGATGGGGTTGTTTGATTTTTTCTGGCTTATTTTCCTGAATTCTAAATAGATTCTAGTTATCAGCCCTTTATGGGATGTGTAGCTTGCAGAAATTTTCTCCCATTCTGTGGGTTGTCTATCTGCTCTCTTGACAGTTTCTTTGGCTGTGCAGAAGCTTTTTAATTTGATCAGGTCCCATTTGTTTATTTTTGTTGCTGGTATGATTGCCTTTGGGGTCTTCTTCATAAATTCTTTGCCTAGGCTGATGTCTAGAAAGTATTTCCAACATTTTCCTCTAGTATTCTAATAGTTTCACACCTAAGGTTCGAGTCTGTTATCCAGCGTGAGTTGATTTTTGTGAGAGGTGAAAGGCGTGGGTCTTGTTTTAGTCTTTTACATGTGGCTATCCAGTTTTCCCAGCACCATTTATTGAATAAGGATTCTTTTCCCCAGTGTGTAAGACCTAACTTCAACAATGATACGTTCGTGGCCAATCTTCTTCTTCTGTATAACCAGATTGTTTTTAATCATATTGGGTTTTTTAAATTGAAAATTCAATTTTTACTTAGTTTAGGCACTTTGGAAACTCTACAACTCTGCCCAAGAGTTTGCTACATAGAAAATCAAGAAGTAAGGACTATGATGTATATAGTGATAATGATATCTGCAGTCAGGAATCAGAAGACAGTTTTGCCAAAGAGCTTCAACAGTACATACAAGCTAAAGAAATGGCAAATGCTGCTCAACTCCTACCATTTCCTGAAGAATCTATGAAGAAAGAGGGAGCAAAAGATACTCAGCAGGGTAAGGATCAAACTATTAATATTTTATCATTTAAAGTTTATCTAGAGAAGTCATCACAGTTGTCCATATATGGGCAGGGATTTTTTTCCTTGTACCTTATCTCATGATACAATCATGGTTTTCATGGATCTGTACGCCAGGTGTGAGCTTGTATGGCCTGAGATCCCACCTAAGAGCTGGCCGCTTGGTGTATAAATGCTCACTGTTTGCAGGAGCTGGGGGTGCAGGTGGGCTATATAACAAAGGCCAAGGCTTTTTCTAAAGGGAGAGTGCTAAATCCTTGGCCTCTGCATGTATGAAGGATGGGATGCCTGTGTGTATTGTTGTCATTTAAAGAAGAGTTGACTGGTTGTATGTCAGACTGGAACTCAGAAATATATTCTTTTAGATTACTGAAATAAGATTTGGGCATAAATATGAGGGCAAATGGCAATTGTAGATGAAATTCTTAATGCTCTTATTGTTTTCTACCTGTGTTTTTTCTATTTAAAATGGATCTGTAGATTAAAGCTATATAAAATGTTTTCAATTAAAAATCTGACAGTAATATATGAAGTCATTTTAAATATTTGAAGCTTTTACCATTATGGTGCTATGGCAATTCCTAATTAGATCTCTCATACTCTGAACACTTCAAAAGGATCTGGCTTTTGGCTTGTAAGATTGATTTCATTAATTATCTTGCTTTTTGCCTGACAATATCTTATATATTTTCAAAAAGAATGAATTGGAGTGCCCTGGAAGATATTTCAGGAAAAAAAAAAAAAAGAATGAATTGGGAATCCAGTATATATTACAATTTTCTTTTTGATCTCTTAATCCCAGAACTTCTAGGAAGCAGGTCAGTATCTTACCAGTTTTCACTCACTGAGCTGTTGAGAACTTTTCCTGGATTATTCTAAGACATACTTCTTAAAAGTAAACTATACTTGTTCATTGTCTGGTTACTGGGGAAAAAAAAGTAAACTGCTATTATACTTTTATGTCATTTTTTAAAATTAACTTTTTTGTTTTTAGCTGCTAAACAAAAAAATAAAAATATTAAAGCTGGTCACAAGAATGGTAAAAAGAAGAAAATGAAGCGGAAATGGCCTGGCACTGGAAACAAGGGACCAAATGCTTTGCTGAGGAACAGTGGCTCACAGGACGAGGTATAGGATCACATGCTTGTAGCAGAACCCCTGTATGCTTTTGGATTTTAATCTTATACTTCAGTGACAAGAAGTTCTATGTGATAGTGAGAGATGGGAGCATACCATAAAATCAGGGTTTTCTCATGATGAAGATCTCTTTTTGCCGAGAGTGGGCTCTCCATTTTCCTCCTTATTATTGCAGCTTCCTTCCCTTTTACTCGTTAGCTGCCAGCAGCCATTTTAAGCCTTAGTGTTCTCCCTGTTGTCCCGAATGCATGAATATAAGCCCCTCGATTTTTGAGTGTTGTACTGTGAATGACTGTGGGAAAATGGGAAGACCAGAGAAGATCAAGTAGTCATGAGGTCATTTCAAAGGCCATAGAGTCTTACAAAGTTTGTCCTGACTCCCTCTGGTAATTAAAAAGGAATATTTCTGGGCATTGGCCTTACCAAATCTCTATACCCACTGCCCTCCTAGTATTGCAATTTTGTTTGTAGAAATTCCTCTTCCTTGGTCTGCACGTGTAATCAGGGTAGGATAATAAGTGACTTCTCTGGACTCTGCCTTTCTGATGGAAAAATGGACTTTAAATTGGATGGCAAGCTTTTCATTAGGCTTGTCACAGGGGACAAGAGTAAAGGTTTATAAAATATTAGAAATACCAAATATTATAGATCCAAGTCCATTATATGAAATCTATCCCTGCCTCTTTATTTTACAAATGAGGACTCTGAAGCCCTAGGGTTCAGGTAATTGTCCATAGTCACACAGGGCCAACCCAGAGCTAGAACTTTGTGTCCTTACCCAGTCAGTATTCCCTTTCATTTGGTGTACACTGAATCAATTGATTATTAAGCCAAAGCTAACAGCCCTTCTACGTGAGGAACAAATTCTAGACATATATGATAGACTTGAATAATACAACCAAATAAAACCAGAGATTTAAACTGACACTTATAAGGCATAATTTTGATGGTGCTAAGTGGAAATTTAACGTTATTGCAAAGCAGATCACATAACTATACAGTCAGCTCCTTTGTCTGTACATACTGTATTCCTAGAACTGTATTCAAAAATTTGGTATGCAAAAGCTGTAAGCTGTGTACTACAAGTTAAAAGTAATATATTTCAGGCCGGGCGCTGTGGCTCACGCCTGTAATCCTAGCTCTTGGGAGGCCGAGGCGGGCGGATTGCTCAAGGTCAGGAGTTCAAAACCAGCCTGAGCAAGAGCGAGACCCCGTCTCTACTATAAACAGAAAGAAATTAATTGGCCAACTGATATATATATATAAAAAATTAGCCGGGCATAGTGGCGCATGCCTGTAGTCCCAGCTACTCGGGAGGCTGAGACAGCAGGATTGCTTGAGCCCAGGAGTTTGAGGTTGCTGTGAGCTAGGCTGACGCCACGGCACTCACTCTAGCCTGGACAACAAAGTGAGACTCTGTCTCAAAAAAAAAAAAAAAAAAAAAGTAATATATTTCTGAAGAGCTCAAATGTATTATAAAAATTCCCCTTTTGTTTTTTATATAAAAATGACCTTTAATTTTATATCTTTATCACCATATTTGAGGCTATATTTCTAATTACATTTGTTGATTCAAGCTGGTCAGTATTATCAACTAACACCCACTGAGCATCTCATTGAAACTATAGATTTCATTGCTTTGGGCTGCCCCCATCCATGACTTCCACCTTTCTCCTTCTTCTAAAGATCTTTGTTCTTAGACTTTGCTTTTTATCACAAGTACTAAAAAATTCATTTTTAAATTTTTTTCGTTCTTTTAAGGGCAACATATAAAATATTTAAATTGCACAAGCACTAATATTCAATGGTGGAATGCTGTTGAAATTAACAAAACATTCATTTTTAGACTGATGTACAAAAGTCCAGATCTTACATGTGAGGGCCAGTTTAAAAGAGTGAGCTTTTAATATTTTAACGGTGGTTTAAAATAATTTTGTGCAACAGAATAAAATATTCAATTTTCTATTTCTCACATTTAATTTTTTGTTTTTGTTTTTAAAGGATGGTAAACCTAAAGAGAAGCAGCAGCATGTGAGAATGAGTCAGGGATTCATCAACCAACATACAGTGGAATACAAGGGAAAACAAATTTGTAAATATTTTCTTGAAAGGAAATGTATTAAGGTATAAAACTGTGTAAGCAAAAATATACTAAAATGTACTAAATGTACTAAAACAAACTGCTGTTTCTGTTTGACACTCTTTTAAATCATACTATTAGGTTTTTAAAACTGTTTGCTTCTGGAAAAGGTTCAATTAAAAAATTTTAGTGAAGTAGATAAAGTATATAAAATTAGATGATTTGTGGTAAAAATGTTTAGGACTTAATGAAATTTTAAGCAGATATATATGAGGTACTTACAAGGTAACTCATTAAAATTAGACTGTACTGCTTCTAGGACTTTGGTTCTTTTTGGAATCATTTGTATATTTAAAGTTTAATGGGAATTAAATTGTAATGACTTAACTATAAGAAATAATGACTTTTCCTTGTACCTTTTTTTGCCTTAGGGAGACCAATGTAAATTTGATCATGATGCAGAGCTAGAAAAGAAAAAGGAAATGTGTAAGTTTTATGTACAAGGATATTGTACCAGAGGTGAAAACTGTCTGTATTTGCATAATATCCTTTATCACAAGATATGGTAACTTTACTCTTCATAGATATTTACATGAACATTTTAAATATGCAAAATTTTTAATCAAACCAATGTTTTAGTATAACAAAATTATATTATCCAAGTCCAGCTTAGTATTAAAGTGATTAAATTATACATAATTTTTTTTCCCCCATAAGAAAGAAAACTTCCTTAGACAATCTCTCAAATGATGATTCTTTCTGTTCAACCTGGGTGGTATTGAGGGTTCATGAGACCTATTCAAGTCCCTTTCTGATACATGTACAGAAAGACTGCTGGAATTTCTGCTGTAATATCGACTAATTGAATCTATATTCAGAAAAGCTACTTTATTAAAAAGGCAGGGATTGAATAATTTGGGAATACTTATTTCCTATATATTCTAAACTATATAGAGATTAATTGTCCCTTAATTTGAAGAATAATCTTAGCTCTTCAGTGCAAATGATGCAGATATGTTATAAAAACATGAAGAATAAACATTTTAGGGTAATAGCACCTTTGGTCACCACAAAAGTTTTTTTTCTTCAGTCTTTCAGTATAATGAATCTTAGATTCTAACTTGAGGATTTCTTTTCCTAGAAAATAATATTGAAGTTATATAAATTTATTCTATTTTAAACAAGATTAATATTAGAAGGATTCAAGTTTATAAGACATATTATTGTTATTAATTGTGATTCCTCTACCCCAAAAGAATGTGTTAAAAATAATCACATTTCTCAAGGTATTTAAAATAGATATCCTTTTCATATCTCAATGAAACCCATCTTTAGTCTATTATGAGAATGGATGTGAAGAAAAAAGTGTCTTGTGATAGTCAATAGACTTGTTTATGTAATCTTTCTAAAGTTAGATTTTTTGTGTAACCCAATTAATAATTTATTTTCTCATATTTTAAATAGAGGAATTCAGTGTTTCTACTAGTATGAAAAGACTTTATATAGAAAAAATAAAAACATTAAAATAACAACAAACTATTTCATTTGAATTAAAATTGTTCTCTTCCTTGACATTGTATTACATGAATATCCTTGCAAGTTTTACCATACAGGAACAAAATGTTATCAGGGTGACTACTGCAAGTTTTCACATGCCCCCCTGACTGCCGAAACACAAGAACTGTTGGCTAAAGTAAGTACAATTTTAATAATCTTTTGTTTTTCCTTTTTAAAGCATATATTTGAACTAAGGATGAGAATTTGAAGATACTGTTCCTTAAGGAGAGGGCCTCCTTAGGAATATGGATAATTTAAGAATTTATTTGAGATTAGAAAATTATTTTTCATTTGTATATTTTTCCTTATAGATGAAAGGAAGATTTATACTCATTGCTAATATAAATTGGGATACTCTTAAAACTGTCAATGTTAGCAATTTTAATAGCTAAGCTAAACAAAGGAAAGTAAAGCAGATAAGAGGAATATTAATAGTATTCTTATTATAAAGATTCTTAGAAAGTTAAGAGTCACAGGTTGATAAACATATTAGAGTTATATTTAAAATTAAGTAGTAATTTCAAAGTGTTTTCTTCAAATATTCTTTTAGTCTGTGAGAAAAGATTATTGAAAAATTATAGTCATTTATAGTATTTTATTTCCTGTGTTAGTTGGAGCTAGTCTTTTCAAAATTAAATTGAAATGTACATGCAAATAAAGATTCTTTTAAAATCAACCATACCATCTTGTGGTGAAATGTTCCCTTGAGCATATGCAAATATTAGAAAGTCAAAAGTATTTATTTCTAGATATTTTTAGGTTGTAAAATATGAAAGGTTACTGTGAAATTAGAATTTGTACCAAGTGTTTATTTGTATAACATATATATGGAAAAATGGTACATAAAATTAGTTTTCAGTTCCTTTTATAGTAGTAAATATTAGATTATTATTAGGATGGATGTTATTGGAATCATTTGAGAATTATGACAGTGTACCTGAATTAGACATTAATGCATAAAAATGATTATGTGATTTTTTTTTCTTATTAGGTTTTAGATACTGAAAAGAAGTCATATAAATAAAATAGACATTTAAAAGGTAAAATTAGAATTTACTACATTTTTCTTTTTTTGCCCCCTTTGAACCATCTCTAGAAATTGGCATGGCAATCTCAATAGGGCTTTTTCCATTTTCTTAAATAGAAGTATTTTTCTCTTTCTTCCCCCACTTAAAAAATTGTAAGGTATTTGATACATATACATAGCTGTGTGGATCTCTTACCAGTCTGCCTCCCTTTGCGGGTCTATCATTTATATTTTTATTCTCCTCTTGTGTTTCTTTGCAGATGGACCCAATGTATATAATTCGTGAAACAGTATATTTAGTTTTGCTTATGTTTAGAGTTCATTTAGACAATACTATACTCTGCGTATTACTGCGGTCCCCAACGCCTGGGCACAGACTGGTACTGGTCTGTGGCTTGTTAGGAACCGGACCGCATACAAGCAGGAGGTGAGCAGCAGTTGAGCGAACAAAGCTTCATCTGTATTTACAGCCACTCCCCATCATTTACCTCCCCATCCCTGGCCACCCCCCACCCGTCCTTGGAAAAATTGTCTTCCATGAAACTGGTCCCTCATGCCGAAAGGTTGGGAGCCACTGGTGTCTTAATTGGTTACTTGCTATTTTCACTCAACATTATACTTCTAAGATTCATTCGTGTAAAATGCATGCAGCTATCATTCATTTTTACTCCTATATAGCATTTCATTCTATGTATATGTTATTTATTAGTCATTCTATTATTAATGGATATTTAGGTTATTTTCAATTTTTTAACAAGCTGTTATTATAAATATTCACATACATGTCTGTCTGTTGGTATAAACATGCTTGAGTTCCAGGGCCAGGGTATATTCCAAGGAGTAGACTTGTTATATCATCTTAACATTTAAGATAGTACCAATTTTTTTCTAAAGGAGTCATAACAGTTTATACTCCTACAAAACTGTGTACAAGAACTCTTGTTATTCCACACTTACCAATATTTTATAATGCTAATATTTTAAATATTTTTGGTCAATTTAGTGGGCGTCAAAATAGAATCTCATTAGCTTTATTTGCATGAAGTACAGCATCTCATGCTTATGGACCTTTGAGTTTCATTTTGGGTGAAATCCCTATTGATGTCTTTTGCCCATGTTTTTATTGGTTCGATTGTCCTTTATATATTAATTTTATATGTTCATGATAAAATCCTTTCTGAAGTATGTGTGGCAAGTCTTTTCCCAGTCACCTTAAAGGGCACAGGAATGTGCTTATCACTCTGTTGATGGTGTCCTTTGCAAAGTTTTTCATTTTCATGAAGCGTAAATTTTATCTATTTTTAATTTTGTTGCCTATGCCTTTGGTGTCATACCCAATAAATCATTGCCAAATCCTATGTGTTATAAAGCCTTTCCCTTATATAATCTTCTAGGAGTTTCATAGCTTTAGCTCTTATGTTTAGGTCTTTGATCCATTTTGAGTTAATTTGTATGTATTAATTATCTAAGGCAAGGGTCCAACTTCATGTATTAATTTGTATGTATTATCTAAGGCAAGAGTCCAAACTTTGTTTTTCACGTATATATCCAGTTTTCCCAGCACCAGTTGTTGAAAGAGAATGTCTTTCCCCCATTGAATGGCATTGGCACCCTTGTCAAAAACTATTTGACCATGTATGTTAAGATTTATTTCCAGCCTTGCTATTCTGTTCCATGGGTCTATATGTCTGTCTTTATGCTTGTACCACACTGTTTTGATTACTGTAGCTTTGTAGTAGCTTCAAATCAGAAATATGAGTCCCCTAACTTTGTTCTTTTTCAAGATTGTTTTGACTATTCAGGATTCCTTGAGATTTCATGTGAATTTTAGGGTAGATTTTTCTGTTTCTGCAAAAAACGTCATTTTAATTTTGATAGAGATTGTATTGAATGTATAGATTTCTTTGGGTAATATTGACATCTTAATAATATTGTCTTCTATTATTGAGCATGGGATATCTTTCCATTTATTTGTATTTTATTTCTTTCAGCAACATTTTATAATTTTTATTGTACAAGTCTCATCTCCTTGGTTAAATCCCAAGTACAGTTGACGCTTGAACAACATGGGGGTTAGGGGTGCTACCCCCATGCAGTAAAAAAATCTGCATATGACTTTTGAGTCCCCAGAAACTTAACTATTAATACTAATAGCCTGCTGTTGATGAGAAGCCTTATAGATAATACAGTTGATTAACACATAAATAGACTAGTATCTACATATATTTTATACGTTCATAACTTTTTCTTAATTTTTTCAATGATTCTAGGGTATGCAGTTTGTCTGTAAGGTTTTTCAAATTGTCACGAATCTCCAAAACTTTTCCAATATATTTATTGAAAAATATCCATGTGTGTAGGTGGGTCCACACAGTTTGAACTTGTATTGTTCAAGGGTCAACTGTATTTTATCCTTTTTGATGCTATTGTAAATGGAATTTTTTTAAATTTCCTTTTTAGATTGTTTATTGTTAGTGTGTAGAAATGCAACTGATTTTTTTATATTAGGGTTTTATACATATAAGATCATAGGATGGATATTTTCTTAACATGCAAAAATGTGTTGTACCTTAAGAAAATCAGCATCATACTTAATTGGGAAACAGTAGAGGCATATTCTTCCAGTTTTCACTAGAAGAGTTTATGTTTCAATAAGACTGTCCAGTTTCTAAACCTCGAATAGAGTTCCCCTCTGAAAACATCTGCATCTAGTGCCAGTTTCATTTAAGAATGTCCTTGATGAAGCAATAAAAATTATTGTTATTAAACCTCAACTCATACAGTCTTTTCAATATTATGTTTAGCAAAATGGGAAGATATATAACTGTATACTGAAGAGGTATTATAAAGGAAAAGCACTTGTGCTATTATCTGAGTTGCAAGCTGAATTAGCTGTTTTTCGTGAATACTATTTTTACTTGAAAGAACAACTGAGATCTGTGTGAGGTGGTTTGTGCCTGTAGTCCCAGCTGCTCAGGAGGCTGAGGCAGGAGGATTGCTTAAGCCCAGGAGTTCAAGTTTGAGTCCAGCCTGGGCAACATAGCAACACCCTATCTCTTAAAAAAAAATGTAGATGTTTGGCAGGACCTTTTCCACAAATGAACAGAGTGACCCTGTCACTTCAAGGAGGACAACTGAAAATATTTGTTATCAATGATAAAATTCAAGCTTTTGAGCAAAAATTCCAATTTTAGAACATTTGATCTGCTTCTGTGAGCTTAAAAGCTTTCCTATACCTAAAGACTTTTTTGGTGAGATTTGATGATATTAAGGAATGTGATTTTTAAAACACTAAACTATATAATGAAACATTTGGAAGATCTGCATAAATTAGTGCACTAATAATTTCCAAATAAATAATGTGTTATACAAAACTATGCATGGGTAAGACATCCATCCAACCCACAATATGACCAATGGGTTTTATGCAATAGTACAAAAAGTTTATTGATGTGGCTTCGTATTCTACACTGCATCTTGAAATTTTTTCCATTTGCTTTTAATATTCATTTGCCCATCATTTTATTTTTAGCTTTTCTGAATAATTTTTAGATCTGTTTCTTATATGGAACATATATAGTTGGCTTTTGCCCTGTGAGATAAACCAAAATCTTTTTCTTTTGGTAGGTGAATAAGTCCATTCACATTTATTGATACGACCAAATATTTGACTTAGTTGCTAATCATTTTATAGTTACTGTGTTACGTTTGCATATTTTCTCTGTCATGTGTTTTCTTTGCTCTTTATTACATTGTTCTTTTTTCATCTCAGTTTTATTCTTTTTATTTTTCTGCTTTTGTTCAATAAATTTTATTATGTTTCCATTCAAATCTATTCTTTCTTGTAATATAGTCTTCATTTTAAATATAATTTTATTTTCTTGTATCATTTCTGATGTCAGTCAACTCTTGTTTCATTACTTCTATTTTTTGTTCAGTTTTAGTCTTAAGTTTTTGAATTTGAATTCAAGGTATTTCCTTTTCCCAAAGAGGAGTCTTTAATTGTTTAGATGTTTGTGTTATAGTTTTCTCCTGCTGCATGGGTTTTTTTTGTGTGTGTGGAGAAAGGGGCAGTAAGTGTGGCTAAGTTGGTAATTTTCACAAGCTAATGTGTTTTTTGTTCTCTGTTTTCTTCTGTAGCATAGATGAAGAATGCTTAAGCCTATATGCCTGTTCAAGACTGGTGATTTGGAGTAGTTTACAAGAGTCTTCATTCAAAGCGCCCTCTTATGTCATTGGAATGATGTGCAGCTTCTTTAATGGATGGCCAGAGGGCTGGGATCTAGAGTACAAGTGTGCAAGGGATTGGTCTTCCCTGAGATGGTCTGGCCATTGGAACAGGAGAGCAGCATATATGGCAGAGATGCTGGCTGGTGGGTTGCAGAAGTCTATTCTGATTGATTTAGTTTTCTCAATAAAATAGGAAGCAAGGTTAGGCTGAGTGAGGATGGGTGAAAAGGTATAGGAGGTTTGAGGAGAGAAAACTGCTAGGAAGACATTGGCATAATAGGTGGACTATAAAAATAGAGCTAGATCTCCTCATGTCATTAAACATTTTCACATGTTTTTAATGGTTGCTCACAATTTCCTTTGAGGGTTAAAATAAATTACAGTTTTATAATATTTTAAACGAATTTCCTGTTGTTGAATATTTGTTTCCAATTTCTTAGTATTATAATAAATAAAATGGACTCCAGTTTCTTATTGTTCTAAATAAAATGGAAAAATATCTCTTGCTATATCATTCCTAAACTTTGAGTTCTTAACTTTTCTGTTGTTAAAATATAAGAATATTTATCTTTCTCATTGATTTATAAACTGTAGTCAGATTATACAGTTGTGTAAAATAGAAACTTTAGGAGTATAATGATGTCTTTAACACAATATTCAATACAAAATTTTCCAAGTGTAAATAATGACATTCTAAATATGCATTTCCGGCCAGGCGCGGTGGCTGATGCCTGTAATCCTAGCACTCTGGGAGGCCGAGGATGGTTTCAGGAGTTTGAAACCAGCCTGAGCAAGAGCGAGACCCCATCTCTACTATAAATAGAAAAAAATTAATTGGCCAACTAATATATATATAAACTTAGCCAGGCATGGTGGTGCATGCCTGTAGTCCCAGTTACTTGGGAGGCTGAGGCAGGAGGATCGCTTGAGCCCAGGAGATTGAGGTTGCCGTGAGCTAGGCTGATGCCACAGCACTCACTCAAGCCTGGGCAACAAAGCAAGACTCTGTTTTATTGTTTTTTTTTTTTTTTTTTTTGAGACAGACAAAACAACAACAACAAAAATATACATATATATAAACTTAGCCAGGCATGGTGGTGCATGCCTGTAGTCCCAGTTACTTGGGAGGCTGAGGCAGCAGGATTGCTTGAGCCCAGGATTTGAGGTTGCTGTGAGCTAGGCTGATGCCACGGCACCATGGCACTCTAGCCGGGGCAACAGAGTGAGACTCTGTCTCAAAAAAAAAAAAAAAAAAGAAAAGAAAAAAAAATCTCCAGGTTCAAATAGTTTCACTGGCAAATTCCACCAAATCTAAAAAAGAAACAACACCAATTCTACACAATCTCAATATTTGGGAGATGTCAATTCTCTCCAAATTGATTTAGATTTAATACAGCTCCAATAAAAATTCAAACAGGACATTTTTTGTAGATACAAGCTCATTCTAAAATTTATGTGAAAGGCAAAGGAACTAGAATAGTCAAATCAATTTTTAAAAAGATTAAATTGGAATACTTGCGCTACCTGAATTTAAGAATTACCATAAGCTACAGTAATCAAGATAGTGTTATATTGGTGAAGTGACACATATATCAGTTTAACTGATTAGAGTTTACAGAAATTGGTGCACACAAATGTGGGCAACTGATTTTCTTATTGGTGCATTTAGACCATTTACATTTAATGTAATCATTGATATATCAGGACTTAAATTTGCTATTTTATTATTTGTTTTCTGTTTGTTCCCTCTGTTCTTTATTCTTTTTTCTTCCCCTTCCTTCCTGTGGGTTACTTGAGCATTTTTTAGAACTTTATCTTGATTTATCTATAGCGTTTTTGAGTGTATCTCTTTATAGATTTTTTTAAGTGTTTGCTCGATACATACATAAAATCTATGCATATATAACAGTCCAAATATATTTAAGGTAATTACTAGTAAGGTAGAATTTTATGTCTTTCATTTTGTTATTTGTTTTCTGAGTGTCTTATGTCCTTTTTGTTCCTCTATTCCTCCATTAATGCCTTCTTTTGTGTTATTTTCTAATCTATTATTTTAATTTCTTTGAGTCTTTTTTACTGTAAACATATTAATGGTTGCCCTGGGGATTACAATTAACAACTTAAAACCTCCTAGTTCAGATTTATACCAAGTTACTTTCAATAGTAGACAAAAAACTTACTCCAATATAGCTTTGCTCCCTCTTCCCTTTTTGTACTATTATATTTATATCACTAAATTTCTATATAAGTATTATAAATCAACAGTTTTATAATTATTCCTTTCTGAAGTTGTTTAAATCAGATAAGATTTAAAAGAGTTACAAACAAAAAACTTATTATACTGAACTTTATATTTACTTATGTAGTCACCTTTATTAGTGTTCTTTGTTTCTTTGTGTGGATTCAAGTTACTATCTAGTATCCTTTCCTATCAGCCTGCAGGACTCTCTTTAATATTTCTTGTTGGATAGGTGTGCTAGCAATAAATTTTCTCAATTTTCTGCATGTGAGAGTATCTAAATTTTTCCATTCTTGAAGAATAGTTTTGCTGGTATAGAATTTGTGGTTGATAGCTTTTTAAAAAAATCTCTTTGAAGATGTCATCTTACTGTCTTCTGGCCTCCATAGTTTCTGATGAGGTGTGACCCATTACTCTTATTAAAGCTCCCTTGTACTTTATAGCTTTTCTCTTACTGGTTTAAAAATTCTTTATTTTTAGCTTTCAGCAGTTTGGTCATAATATGCCCAGGTGTGGATCTCTCTGACATTATCTTGCTTGGAATTCTTTGAGCTTCTTGGATGTGCATATGAGCGTTTTTCATCACATTTTGGCAGTTTTCTGCCATTATTTCTTCAAATATCCCTTTCTCCCAGTTCTCTCCTTCTGAGACTCCCATTATGCATATGTTGACATGCTTGATGGTGACCTCACAAATACCTGAAACTCTGTTTTTATTTATTTTTTTATTCCTCTAACTGGATAATATCAATTGATCTATGTTCAAGTTCACTGATTCATTCTTCTGCCTGCTCAAATCTGCTTTTGAGCCTTCTTGTGAATTTGTTATTTCAGTTGTAATTCTCAACTCTAGTATTTTTATTTGGTTCTTTTAAAATAATTTCTATCTCTTTATTGATATTCTCTATTTGATAAGACAACATGCTCGTACTTTAATGTTTTACGTAGGGTTTCCTTTAGTTTTTTGAAAATATACTAGCTAATTTAAAGTCTTTCTCTAGTAAGTCCAACATCTGGTTTCCTTAGGGTTAGTTTATATTGAGTATTTGTCTATATGTGTGTGTGTCTTTGTGGGGGGATATATTTTCCTGTTTTTTAAATGTTTTTACATGTTCATAACTTTTTGTTGAAAACTAGACATTTTAAACAGTATAGTTTTTCAACTCTGTAAATCAGACTACCCATGCAGAGTTTTTTGTGGTTGCTGTTTATTGTCATTGTTGTTTGTTTAGTGATTTTCCTGGACTAATTACATAAAATCTGTAATTTTTGTTATGTATGGCTATTGAAGTCAACACTTATTAGCTTAATTGTCAGCTAATGATTGGACAGAGATTTAGTTAAATACCTTGAACATATGAGTCTTCCAGTCTTACAGAGGAACTCTGTGTGTGAGTTAGAACAAACCTTGAGTATTCCGTTTGGTGGTTTACAACTCTGCCTTAGGCTTTCCTTCCTGCATGAGCAGAGGCTCAAGGCTGGCCTGAGAAGAGAACTTAGGGCCCTTTCAGGTCTTTTCTGGGCATGTTCTCAGCCCTGCACATGCATGATATTTTAGATTCCCAGGAATGTGTCAGAGCTTTTCAAAGCCCCCTATGGATATTTCATTTCCTGTTTTTTCCTTTTAATTTTTTTTTTTTTTTTTTTTGGTCAGCCTCTTGTTGGCTCTGGTTGCAACATGAAACAATTGCTGCTGACTGTTTTTGGTAGGGATGTTCACACAGTGAGCTCTTCAGTCTGGTCAAATGAAGACAGGTCCTGAGAATGTAGATTTTCAGTGAGCTCTTGGACAGATGGGGTAGTGACTGTTTGGGGGAGATGGGACTTTTGAGAAGCTCCAAACCTGTTCTACCCACTCCAGTGGCTAGTACGTACTGGTTTTCACCACTATTAAAGTTGTAGTGCTTTTGGTCTTCAAGGCTCATACTGTGTTGCTGGGAAAAGGTAATGAGATTAGGGAAGATAAAATGCAACAAGAATTCCACTAAGATTCAGCTGTTTTTCTTGAATAAATTCTCTTCAAATTGTTGCAAGCCTTTTTAGTTAAAGGAAAAAGTTGATTTTGACTATTTTTGTCAGTGTTCTTATGCCTTTTATGGAGGGGTGGATTTTTGTAGATTCTTACTCTGCCATTCCAGAAGTAGAAACTCTGGTTCACTCTTAAGTGTTGTTTGACATCACAGTATCTTTTCATAAAATACCTTTACTATAGAAAAATGTATATCTCTAAATATATTTCATACATATGTATGTATAAGTAGAAATATATATTCATTTATTTATGACTGGCATGAACACTGAACATACGCCATCTTCTAGTACTTTTATTTCAGAATCCCATTTCCCTGGCTGGCATGCCAGGGACTCACCATCTTCCTAGGGAACGCAGCTGCACCTAGAGGAATGAGACCGTAAATGATTACTGGATAAAGTGCATGTGACTGTTGACGGGAAGATCCTAGTCTGTGAATATTAGGGACCTTTTACTCCTTGCTCCAAATTTTGAAACTGCCTTTTTAAGGGATTCCACAGACATGATCTTATTTACCATTCCCATAAATCTTAAATAAATACAAGCTTTGTATCCCAGCTGTGTCCTACGCAAAAACATTTCAAATTTATTTGCTCGGATGTGTTGCTTGGCAGGTATGTTTGTTACATAATAATATAAACCGGACTTTAATCTTGGACTTCCTGAACAAATCTGTGATTCAGCCCCATATCTGCTGACACACCAGCTCTTTTCAGCCTTCCATATGCCCGAGGACTGCAAGCCAATTTAAACTTCCTTGTGTAGCTGAACTCAGTTAGGTAGACCCGGAATCAACAGAAATGCTCCTTATTTCAGCCAAATACACATAAAACAGTCTTTTCGGCCAGTGAAGGAGGAAGGCCTGGTTGCTGTGAATTCCTTATTGTCTCGGAGACTGAATGCCTGTCCTTGTGTGGCTGTGAAGGATTCTATGTTCTCTCCAAGTTGAGGAGATGATGCGAGCGGCCCCTCAGGAAACAGAATCCTGCCCAACCTCCCCTGGCTCCCACCCCTCTGGACTACCAGGAGTTCTGGAGGGCTGTGTTTTTTGGGATGTGCCCTACACTTAAACCTGAACCAGGAAGAAGAAAGACAGTGGGAAATGCCCTTGACTTTTTAAATGGGATGTGCAG